CTTCTCTGCGTCACCTACTGAGCAGCCTCCAGTACCATGGTCCCCGCACGCCCCGCCCCCGAGCAGCGACACAGCCCTCAGAGTTCAGGCTGATGTCCGGTGCCCCGGACCGTGAGCCCCACGGGGACAGGGGGCGTTCACTGCACTGACGCTGCCCAGCAACAGGCCTCAGGGAGGGCTCCGGGCACCCACGGGTGAGTCACACCTCCTTCCCGCCACGGGCACAGCTTCTCCCTCTCCCAGAGCCTGCGTGCCCTCCCCTGAGGCTGCACATCCATCTATGACCCAGGATGACCGCACTCCAGCAGCCAGGAGCCTGGCGGGCCTGTCACCCGCCCCGGGCAGAGGTCGGGCCAGGGGCTGCAGGAGGCCCCGCACGGGCGCTGCTGAGGGCGCTCGCGGGGCCCTTTCTTCCCGCTCCAGTGGGTGTGGGCTTCCTGCTTTGGGTCTGGGTGTTCCAACTTCCCGGCCCGATAAGGATCTCCAAGGTTTGGAGCCAAGACAGCGTCTTTTTGTGTTTTTCCCGCTACTGACAGAAATCCACAGAGGCTTGCTCAACCCTGGCGGGGGCGGGGGAGGGGTGGGGGCAGGAAGGCCAGGGGCTGCCGAGGCCTGACCAGAGCTGGATGGCTGCGAGGGTAGGGTGGGCCCGGTCACAGTGGTCCCCGTGCTGGGCCAGCTCACAGCTTCCTGATTAATCCCTGGGATGCGGGCACCATGCCCCCACTGTACAGACGAGGTCGAGACTGGGAAGCGCTGTTGTTTCTGAGGTCGCTGGTTCATGGAGTGAAGTCTGCTCTGGGTCTGCGCGCTGACCGCTGCCTTCCGCGGCCAGCCCTGGGCCCCAGGGTGCACAGGCCAGAGGTGCTGGCTGAGGACACACATGCGGACACGGCTCAGCAGGCTTTCCCTCACGCTCCCAGCCACCCCGTCACCCACACTTTACAGAGGAGGAAATCGAGGCTCAGAGTGGGTGCGCCAGGTCTGCCTACGCCAGATGCGGTGTTTCCCTCTGACCTGGGACCAGCCTGCAGGCCACACACCACCCACTGGCCACCCACTGCAGCCCGGGGGTTCAGTACAGGGCCCCACGGGAATGGGACCTCACACAGCTGGTGGCGTGACCGAGAGGCGTGAACCTGGAGGCAGCACTGGTCCACCCCAGGAGAACTGAGACCCTAGAACCCACACACTGCACATTCTCTCAGCAGCTCCTGGGCAGGAAGAGTGGGTACATGACGGGGACCCGTACGCATTGCCGAACCCCTAATGTGACAGTCAGGAGGTGGGGCGATCAGGTCACGAGGGCCTCCTAGATGGGATGAGCGCCCTGTAAGCGGAGGCCCCTGCCACCGGGGAGGACACAGCGAGCAGACGGCTGCCTAGGAACCAGGAAGGGCCCTCAGTGGACTGGGACCCGCTGGTGCCTTGGCACTGGGCCAGCCTCCATGATGTGAGGCTCGGTCATGGCAGCCTGCGGGCGGAGACACTGCGGCAGCAAGGAGGCAGCGAGATGACCGTAGGAGGCTGCAGTATTGGGAGAAACCCAGGCAGGTCAGACAGAGAGCAGGGTTATTTGCGTTTTGTAATTTAGAATGGTTGTGGGAGGATGGAGGTCAAGGAAAACGGTGCCAGGAAGGTGACACCTGAGTAGAGACGAGGTAAGGGCACAGCCAGGCTGTTTGGGAGAGAGGTGTCCAGAATGAGGGAACGGCTGCCACCCAGGTCCTGGGAGGTGCAGAGGCCCGAGGCAGAAGAGCCAGGGTGGCTGGGGACCTGCGGGCCCTGAGGTGAGCGCAGCCTGGTGGCTGGCGTTCTGGAAGCAGCAAGTCGCCGCCAACCTTTCCCAGAGGCCATGAGAATGAGCTTCCACGACCAGCACCGTGGCCCGAGGGGAGAGGTCAGCAGGCAGGCAGATGTCGCCGCTGCTGGCCACACAGCCCCGGAGGCAGCTCTGCTGGCCCAGCTAGAACCTGCCACCAGTGTGCCAGCCACACGGCCCCGGAGGCAGCTCTGCTGGCCCAGCTAGAACCTGCCACCAGGTCTCACATGAGGCCACGTGCTCAGGACACAGGCTGAGACCCAGCCCGGGCCCTCCCTGTGTGACTAACGGACGATCTGCTTCCCCAGAGGACAGAGCAGTGCTGGCAGGGCCAGGGGGACGGCACTGGAAAGGGGGGGACGGTGCAGAGGGACAGCAGGGGAGGCGGCTGCACAACAAAGCGCTGACCTGCTGTGACCACGCAGGAACACAGCCCAGCCTGGGGCTGACCGCCCGCGTAGGGCCTCTGTCTGTTACAGCCCTCCCTCCACACTTTCTTATCAAAGTTCACACCTTACTGGGGCACAGAGGTCAAACCACACTCAGAGAACTCATCCGTCAGCTTCCTCGTCCCTGATCCGCATGCCACACAGGACCCAATCCGCAGGCAAGCACCTCGGACTGCAAGGGGCCCCTTCAGGACACCTGCCTGCCTTCCAGCCAGGGCACCCTCAGGCCCTCAGAGGCAGCCCTCCCAGTCCCCACGGGGTGGGTCCGCGAGCCATCAGTGCTTCTGGGACAGACAGGAAGGCGCCCGCCTCCAGACTGTGGTGAGCACGGTGGCTGCGACGCTCCCACAATCCAGGCGGAGTCTCCCTTCTCACTGCAGAGCTTGGCGCACAATGAGGGCACCCCTCCCCAGCAAGGCAGGGGACGCCGGCTGCACCCGTCCCCAGCAAGGCAGGGGACGCCGGCTCCACGTGGTTTTAAAAAACCAACACCAGACCGATTGCTTCTCGAACCCCAGAATCAGGTTCAGCTTCACGGGCCTCCCACAGCCCAGTCCGTGGAACTGTCCCCAAAGTCATCGGGTCTCACAGGAGCTGCCCGAGCAGGCGGGCGGCCAGCAGCAGGGACGCGCTGCAGCGCTCGGGGGCAGATCTGCACGCCTGGCGGACACACAGACCCTGCCGTCTCCCTGTGCAGACCAGGGGGTCCGGCCGGGGAGCCCTGAGGGCTGAGTGGCTGTGCCCACAGGACACGCCGTGGGCAGGGCTCGGCGGCCTGGCATCCGGAACCTCTAACTGGAGGCCCTTCGCACAGGAGACAGCGCTGTGATCCAGGCGCGTTGCCAGGAGGCCCTGACCTAGAGAGCCAAGACCCCCTGGTTCAAACCTCGCTCGCTACCTGCTCTGTGACCTGGGGCAAGTTGCTCGACGTTTCTGAGGCTCAAGGTCATTGGAACAGTGAGGAGGGCGCTATCTCATTGATGCCACACACGCGGCCTCTCACTTAACCTCCCTAGAACCAGGGGCTGCGTGTAATCGATAGCGTCTTCTTGTTAGTGGTCCGTAGGAAGACGGTGGCTATGTGAGTGGGTCTCCGATGGGAGGGACGATGGGGGTATCTGCCCTGAGAGGCGGTCCTGAGGGCGAGGACAGTCCTCCTGCCTGCACGCCATCCGCACGGGCCTGGTCTCGGCCTCGGGGCCAGTGCGGCCACTGCCGGCCAGGGGCCCCAGCCACCCTCGCTGGTGCTGGCGGAGGGGCCAGTCAGGCCACAAGAGCCACAGGCGGCGGGGCCGAGGGGCTTCGCAGAGAGGAAGGCCCGCCCGCAGCCAGGGTCCGACCCGCTGACCCCCGCCCCCCCCAGGCCAGGCCGCCGCCCGCCGCCTTCCACTCCGGGCCACGCAGCAAATCCGGGTTGAGTCCTGCCACCCGCAGGCCTGGGTTTTCAGAGGGAACTGTCCTCACTCAGGCCCTGGGCCCGAACGTGCTGCCGGGGCCCCGCGCGGCGGCGGGTCCGCCCGGCGAACAATGCGCTGCCTCCGAGCGGCTCCCGGGCGAGCGGTTTACAAAGAGGCTCCTGCGCCCGGGAGCGCGGCCGGGAAACGCCGGGAAGCCCAGCAGGTGCTCGCCAGGCGCAGGCCACGGGCTGCGGGGCGGGGCTGCCCGCGCTCAGTCCCAGGCCCGGCGCACCCGGACCGCCCGGGCCCGCGTCCGCTCGGCTGACCCCAGGTCGCGGGAGGGCCCAGCCGCCCGGCCAGCGGTCCCGGGCCGCGCGGGGCGGGGCCACGCCGGGGGCGGGGCGACGGCGGTCACGTGTGTACACAGGCCCCGCGCGGCGTGCGCGCCGTGAGTCCTGACTGCCCGCCCGCGGCGACTGCGCGGCCCAGCGAGCCGGTGAGTGGGCGCTGACGCGGGGTCGAGGGGCCGGGCGCTGGGCACTCTCGGGGGCGGCGCGCGGGGAGCGAGCCGGGGGCTGCGCTCGGA